GTGTCACCAAAAAATACATCAAACCCGATGTTAAGCTAATTTTTAAGTGAAAAGTCGATTTTTGTTGAAAAATGTCGATTTTCACCTAAAAACGTACGCTTTTCTGCATTCAAACGTCATTTTCTCCCTAAAATACCACCGTATCATTTTTTTTGACAATACCATTCAAAACCTGAGACTTCGAGGAAGTTTTTCCCGGGGAATGCTCGCCAAACAACTATGTATTGAAACCGAAAAATAAATAGAGAAAAAGTCAAATTTTTTGAAATTGTCACAATGTAAAGATTTACCTAATTTTTCACTTGTTAAATCTATGTAATAAATTTTCGTTTTGCATCAGAGAGATGGGAAATTGAACGCTCTTTCGAATGGTATACCTAGTTTTAAGTTTGCGCAGTAATTTGGTGGAGTTATGGCCGTTTAAAGAGTGTCAAGTCGAAAACACAGGAAAAAAAATTAAAAGTGAAAATACTCGAAAATAAGTCTACACAAAGAAAATGTGTAACAGTAATTTTTTGTTGGAAATTTCTTGTAGAATTGACACCCTGCCTATATCCGAACTTATACGTAGACACTCTGTGTACAGGGTGTCCCAAAAGTCGGGGAGGAGCCGGAAATGGGGGGTAGCTGAGACGATTCTGAACAACAATTTCCTTTGCAAAAATGTCGGATGAGGCTTCGTTAAGCTGGCGGCCGCGCTTGTACGCGAACAAGTGACTCGACGTGCATAGAAGGACATTGACACTGCCGCGGCCGCTCGAACGGTCTACACGCGCTCTGATTGGTCGCGGTTTTCGGTTAATATCTCCTTAACGAAGCCCCATCCGACATTTTTGCAAAGGAAATTCTTGTTCAGAATCGTCTCAGCTACCCCCCGTTTCCGGCTCCTCCCCGACTCTTGGGACACCCTGTATATATATAAATTTACGGCTACCACGGTAAACACCAAAGTATGTATTATTACGCTTTTTAAAACGATTATTTTTGAGAATATACGCTGTAAACACATTAAAATTTATTGTCATATTTTCATGTTTCTTCGCATATAAATTACATAATACGTTCGCTGCCATGCGAGTTTTCTATGTTTTTTCGTTCATGCTGGATACCGTAGAGGCGGTTTAATTATCATCAACATTTGTTCAAATTACAGTGTGGAAAATAAAAACATTTAATACTTGATTTGTGTAATTATTATTATTTTATTGTATACCTAATGATATTAATGTTATTCGAAAATTGACAAATATTAGAGTTTAGGTATTGTAAGCATTTTAACACGTTTGAGACCGATGACTCAACCGATGAGCCAATTGTGATCTCAAAATAGAATTCCAAAAATTGTTTGCACTTGTTGGAGATAATCTTATCATAATATGTTGGTCTCGAATGTTTTAAAAAAGCCATGTAAGTTCGAGCGTCGGTCACCGGTGACTGACGCGGCAGCGAACGTGTTAATATAAAAATACTATGTGTCGGTTTCCAAAAGAGATGTACAGGACAGGGTACAGTAGTTTTTATATTGCAATATAAAATTGTAATATATCCTTTTTCATTGAATATTGTTATTAAGTTTTAATGACGCTAATATTAAAAAAAAAAAGTAGTAGTAAAACCATTATTGTAATATCATTTCATTTTAAAAACTTCCCACAACTGTGTTTACAAAGATGTATTCAATAACAAGTATTGATGTTATGTAATTGTCTCAATTTTTGTAATAACACTTTTTACACATAATAGAAATGTTTAAAAAGTTAATTGAACAGAATACTTCAACATCAGTGTTCAGTACATGTATAATAAAGAAAGGACAGAGAAGTAAACACTTTGTAGAGAGTATAAGACTACATTTATTAAAGTCATAATGAAAAGAAATTGAAAAAAAAATTAATGTATTTATGTTGCATATTAACAAAGGTGTAAAAGAAATATACAATACTGCTATAGTGGCATTTTGTCTCCGAGATAAGTATTATGTGTATTCATATGTGAAACATACAGCATTCGTTTTAACGAGATTTTATATTTTCAAAAATAATAATGTATAATTCCTTTTAGACAGCTTCCTTCTGTGTATCGAGACATATTGACTTGTATATAAAACTGTGCGCAATTTTATAATATTTGTAACATTATATTTTTTTCTTCTTATTTAATTTTGTAATTCATATACATTCGGCAGTAATTTCAATCTATCTTTATGGAGGAAGTTTTACTAACAAGAGATATTTTTAACATCAGCGCATCTAAGCAATTATTTATAAAAGTGGATGATTAGAAACTTCTAATTTTATTTGAAAAACTTATGCCTGAATCGTGGTTTTCTCTGTCGATTCCTAATTTACAAGTAAAGAACACTTATCTAAAATTGACTTCCTATTTCACTATTGAAAACACAAAAACCATTTTGTATGAAGGTAATTTTGATCTTGTTTAATGATCTTTCATCTTAATTCCTTGTGCATCTAAAATATGATAGATTCATGAACACACTATATGTTGTGAATATAAATGTAACAGAAATGTAATGCAGAACTCCAATGTTCCTTTATAGGTTTAGTATAAAATACAATTAAATATAAATGATAAGTGCAATGTTAGTCATGACTAAAATCCCATTACTTATTTATTTGTATTCTACTGACAATTTTTCCTAAATTATTCATACAACTCTTAGAAACGAGCTTATAAACAAGCAAAAAAATGCTTATTTATTCAAGTTTAGTTAATTTATGAATGACAAGTATACTAATAATGGTAAAAAGGAAAATCCAAAATTACATTCAGAATAACATAGAATTCATTTATTAAATCAATGCATAAAAATTAGATGGTAGAGATTAAATTTATATATACATAAACAATTCTATAATAGGCTTTAATGTATATGTGTAAATAAAATTTAATCCATGATAAGTGTGTTCAATTGCATAACTATTAATAAATACAGAGTTTCTTCCCAAATAATCAAAATATTTCTACATCTTCATAGTTTATCCAGATATAAGCCATGTATTTTGAGTAAAATATTCTGATATTTTGTCGGCATATTTTCTATCTACATTTTGCTGATATTACATTGATATCAAGGCATAGCTTATCAGAAAACCATAATTAGTACCAACTATCTTGAATATTAATCTATAATGTAGTTCACATACACTAATGCAAACTTCTCAAATTTATAAATAATTAATAAAGTTAAAATATATTCTTTTATTTCAATTGTCATTCTTATTAAAATTATAAAAAATAACCATTTATTCCAATATTCATTTCCAAACTTTTGTAAAACTTATTAAATATAAATTCGAATAAGTTACTTCCTTATGAAATTTATTTTTAAATATACAGATATTTTTAAAACAATGTACTCATTACCAATAACAGGTTTGAAGATTTTATTAGAAAATTTTACAAATCCTTTTTTCTTTGTCCTTAACCAATGAAATTCATTACAACAATATGAAGAATAACATGTGCAAAAATGAAGTCTGCAAATCCTCTCTCAGGACTTATTCCATGAAACTGACTTTTGTTTTGTGGATTTACTTGTAGCCGTAAGCAAACTGAAACAAACGGATGAATCAATGTTTTAATAAATATGTAACAATGAGCGTTAATTTACATGAAAACATCCTATAAAAGTATCTACTTCTTGAAAAAAAAGAAATGACTTAGTGAAAAAGGGATATTTCTTTCAATGAAAAGATAATGTCATATAAATGATTTTTGATAGATATTGACAGAACTTTTAGGTAAAATAATATTGAAGAACTAAAACATTTTAAACTGAAATTTATAAAAATCTATACAAATTGGAAATAAAATGATTATTAGCAAAATACCTCCAAGAACGAAACAGGAGACACAAGAAATAAATCCGCTCAGAAAGCTGTTGAAAGGGAACGTTCCCACGAGACAACAATAAACGAATTGTATGACACCCGTTAGAAACACATAAAGCAAATAGGCATCTATTATTTTAAGCTTTTTTGGCGTAGTTTTCGTGTACTCTTGCCAAAATTTTCCAATAACTGTTAACGCAGTCATTTTCCTGATTATTGTGACGTTCCGTTTCAGGTTAGTTCGAACTTAGACGCGTGGCACCAACACACCGTTACACTCGTAAACCACGTAAAACGTAACTACACGTAACTACGAAATGCTATCGATAATTGAATGAATCGACACGTAGTAACAACTAGAGATGGCGTGAACTGCTACTTTTGAATCACTCGTGATTCAATCACGTTCGTTCTCAATCACGATGATTTTTCACAGTGATTCGTGATTCTTCGTGATCACTTCTGATTGGTAGAGAACATTCTTTTCACTTTTCACGAATTATGTTGTTCTTAGATTATATATAATCTAAAACCATTAGACAAGAGTTGACGCCATTTCTAGTAACAACTTATACATATCGATACCAGACGTTTCTAAGTATCGAACAAAGTATTTTAAGAAATTTAGTAACAATCGATGATATTTCGATAGGTTGAGAAGTATCGATTGAGTTGAGTGGTAATTTAGAGATTTAGAGGTTAAAGTAGGTTGAAGTACACTACGTAAACAACATAACATTAAGGGAAAGTCAAGAAAGACTGATCACTAAAGTAACGTTGTACAAATTTTACTTAAAGTTATGTAATTTATATAAATAAAATGACAGACGAGAAAGCGCAGACGCAAGAATTTAAATTAGATCCAGATTGCGAATTACGATTCGAAGTTGAAACCAAAAATGAAAAAGTTACACTTGAGGCAAGTATTGAAACGTTTTCAGTAATTCATAATTCAGTAAGTAATTTTATTAATTGGATATTTCGAAATTTTTACTTTGTCGCTGTTTAGTTTACCCTAGGATGAAAGATCACCAAAGTTTACAAATATTGTTACTTGCAGAATACAAACATTTCTTTATTTTAAAGAAACTTAATAACGAGCGCGTAATTTATTTTTTGTGTTACGATATTTATATGACTTTATCCATTTGCAGTTGAAAAGTGGTTTAGCAGAAGTTTTTGGTACAGAATTAGTAAAAGGGAAGAAATATGACTTTACAGCTGGAGCTAAAGTAGCTGTATTTACCTGGCAAGGCTGTACAGTAGAATTAGTTGGAAAAACTGATGTTAGTTATGTTGCTAAAGAGACTCCAATGGGTCTTTATCTAAATTGTCATGCAGCAATGGAAAGGCTTAGAGAAGCTGCGGAGAAAGATGAAACTAGAGGACCGATAACAATGCTTGTAGGTCCCTGCGACGTTGGAAAATCAACATTATGTAGAATTCTACTGAATTATGCAGTTAGAATGGGCCGCAGGCCAATTTTTGTAGATTTGGATGTTGGTCAAGGACATATAGCAATACCTGGTACTGTTGGAGCTTTACTAGTCGAACGCCCATCCAACATTGTGGAAGGCTTCAGTCAACAAGCACCATTAGTCTTTCATTTTGGACATAAGGCTCCACACATGAATGTTACTCTTTATAATCTTCTTGTAACGCGTCTTGCAGAAGTTTGTTCCGATCGGCTCCAAGCTAATAAAAAGGCTAGAATTTCTGGCATTGTAATAAATACATGTGGTTGGGTCAAAGGAGCTGGGTATAAACTATTGACTCATGCTGCACAAGCGTTCGAAGTTGATGCGATTATGGTATTAGATCAAGAAAGACTTTATAATGAACTCGTTAGGGATATGCCAGACTTTGTTAAAGTAGTTTTTCTACCTAAGAGTGGTGGAGTCGTAGAAAGGAGTCAAGCACAGAGGACAGAAGCTAGAGATCAAGGTGTAAGAGAATATTTTTATGGATCTAGAACTCCACTCTATCCACACAGTTTTGAAGTAAAATGGAGTGAAGCAAGATTGTATAAAATTGGAGCTCCGGTATTACCTGCATCCTGTATGCCACTTGGAATGAAGGCAGAAGATAATCTAACAAAATTGGTAGCTGTTACACCAGGGCCAAATCTACTTCATCATTTATTATCAGTTTCATTTGCTGATTCTCCAGAAGATGACGTAGTACAAACTAATGTTGCTGGATTTGTCTGTGTGTAAGTATTTTTTTCATTCAAGAACTTAAACATTTGCTTTTATCACGTAAATGAAGAAAGTATTTAAACGTGGTTCTAGTGGGATATCCTGTATATTGTTATTATTATAAATTCTATTTTTAATATCTGTTTAATACTTCTTTTATGTTGTGTCCTGCTAATGTATATACTTTCTTTATGAAAATAACGTCTGAGTAGGTTTGGATAGTATTTAATGGAGGTAGCGATATTGAATAATGTTAATGTATATGATGTCTAAAGTAGATATGATGATAACAATAATTTAAGGGTGTAAGTTTTGTCCCACCAACAGAAAGTCAAACCAAGTTTGATCATTTTGAATGTAAGTAATTTTTCATTTTATGCTGACGCCGAAAAGGTTATTTAACATAATTTAATATAAAGGAAATAGAAATTTAATATATTATTCAATATCATTTATTATAAATGAAATAGAAATTATTTCATATTTTTTAGTGTAATTTTAATATTTTTTCGAAATCGGTTATATTTTTTTCCAAAAATTATTTTATACAAAATATAATAATGATTAATATTTTACAATATTTGTTTTTGAACTGATGGTTTGGGTTTCGCTGTGATTACAATTTTTTCGTTGATATGTGATACTCTTGGGATTTGATGTGTTGTGTATGAATTTCTGAATCGTTCATTTTTGTTTCTACATTTCATTTTGGGAACGAATTTACACAAAATTATTATTGCTACGATAAGTATTAGGATTCCACTTAACGAGATTGATGAGATAAGGCTATAATGATATTCTATAGGTATGGTATTATTTTCTTAGAGTTCGGTTTTTACATCTGATAGGCGTTTACTGATTGCTCGCAATTCTTCTGGATGTTTGATAATTTTTCGCAATTTATACTGTTTATTCCTCTGAAAATTCATTACATCTAATGTTTCCGGTAAATTAGGTATAGTTAAATCGTATGTTGGTACACAGCTTATCGTTTTTTGATATTTACAGTTTTTTCTAGTTTCTATCGTAAATTCAGTTGTAGAAATTGTACATTTTTCCTTAATAGCTATGATACCAGAATCTTGAATGTAAATTATTTGTGTGGTATGATGTTCTCATATAACAATTACTTGGATGGGAACTGGAGTTACATAGATTCAAGGCTATAAGTCTAATATAACAATTTTCTGGATGCTGAGTGAGTTTAGTAAATAATTGTGCTTCAAAAGAACCGTGTGGAGAGATTTTAAAAATTAGATGATACATTTTACATAAATATTCGTTGTTAAATGTTTTACAATTACTTAAATCTTTATCGTTGATTTGTATGTAATCCGAATTTGTTATATCGATTGCTATATATGATTCTATCATTCGCTTAAATTCGTAGTGATCATGTGGAGTTGAGAAGTCCGTCTTTTCTCGATCCTCCACCGAGCTGATCTAGAATTTCTGTTATGTTTGGTAGTGGGAATGAGTCACCTACCGTTACATCATTCAGTTTTCGGAAGTCTACCATTACTCTATATTTTTTATTTCCTGCTTCATCTGGTTTTTTAGGAACGACTAATAGCGGAGTATTCCACTCACTAGTACTGGGCCCTACTATCCCTTGTTTTAGCATCTCGTTCACTTGTTTATCTACTACTTTTTTGTGTATCTGTGGTAATCGGTACGGTTTTACATTTACCGGTTTTGCATTCGAAATTAAACGTATTTTATGCTTTATTTTGTCAGTAAATCGTAATTTGTCTCCTTCTAAAAAGAATATGTCATTATATTTTTCACAGAGTTCTAGTATACTGTGTTTTTCTTCATTATTTAAGTGTAGTAGGCTAAGTGTAGTAGGTAGTCGGTAGTCAGGCTATCTCGTAATGCTTGCATTCTATCTCTGCCGGCCATAACCCTGGCGTTAAATATCTACTGACTGCCGCGGTGATCGTCCGTTTCGTTAAGTAGGTCAGTGTTGCAAGTGTCCATATGCACTTCAAGTGCTGGTATTCGAATTATTTTTTCTGTCAGATTTACTACTGGCACGAGACAAGAACCGTCTTTTGCCTCTGTTAAACAATTTCCTTTTGTAGGATGGTTGAGCGAAAAACACAAAGTATAATGAAAACTTTATTTAATACGTGTGGTCTCTAAGAAGTCCGGGCTAACACTAGGCTCTCTGGCCTTTTGCCGGTTCCTCCTAAATAACGCTTCATACATACACTCACACACTCTCACATACACACAATCTGGTGATCGGTAGCACGTGGCATGTGGCATGTGTTTGGTAGCGGCCACCGATCACTAACCAGCGGTGCCGATTGTCGGGAGCGGTGCCGACTGTGCAAAAGACTGCGCGTGTAATTGCCTACACTATAAAAAATCCTGGTTTTAGCATTTGCTTCTCTATGATTCCTTGACCGTGTTCATTTGTCACTGCGCGTATTAGCGTCTCTGAGTGCGGTTACAAATTGAAATGGCCATTTTTCTTCTAGAATTTCTACGTTTCTTCTCGGTTGAATGACTGCTTCGAAGTCGGTAACGAAATCATTTCCTAAAATCCCGTCTGCTTGAATCGGAAAATTATCTCTGACTACTCGGCAAGAGTGTATCACAAACCTATTGCCGACCTTCACGTTAAGATTGATTTTACAAATGGTTGGGATGTCGGTATTTCCTATTCCCCTCAAGGATACAACTTCGCTGGTGGTGGTTACCTCACCTACACTGCAGTGCATAACTATAGCATTGCTACAATTTTCGTGCGTTTTGTGGATTTAATTAATAATTCCTAATTTTTAATAGTACCACGTGAAAGAGGCTAAAAATATATTATAGCAATGATAAAACGGTGAACATAACATTAATTTAAGACAACTAATAACAATATTAAATTATAATGTAATGATTAAATGATAATTTCAACAAATGAAAGGGAATAATTTAATAATGAGAAGGACCTCCTTTCTTCTCGATTAACTCAAAAATGCGATTTGGCATACTCCCAACTAGTTTTTTTCAAAATTTCATCGTTAATTTCATTCGAGGATTTTAGTACAGCTTCTTTTAACTGCGAAATGTTCGAGAATTGTTGGTTGTGTGCATAAATACGCCGTACCATCATACCCCATAAAGTTGCCATCGGATTTTGATCC